TTCTAACGATGCGCGCTGGGCCGCTTAACAGCTTACTTCCGAGGAATACATAACAGTGGTAAGAGAAGCTAAAAAAGAATATCTTCAGAATACTTTGCCCGTCATGCTATCAACTGACACAAAAACGTTTTGGCGTGTTATTAACCCAAAATTTAATAACAATATCACCCTCGTCAACAGTGCTGGTAATGTCATTCCCTCAAATCAATGTGCCATCGTTCTTAATGAAATATGTTCACGCAATTTTTCTGTAACTACAGACGTCCCATTACCTAATATAAACTCATGTGAGTTCCTTGCAATGTTTCCTGTCATTGTTGATCCTAGTGGTGTGGAAAGCATACTAATTAGATCACTTAAACAATTTTCTGATCTTGATTGCGATTTAATTGACCCAAGAAGTTTAAAAAGTACCAGTGTTTATTCTTCTATTATTCTATCAATTTTTCCAACAGTCCCTTGATGATGGTTTTCTCCCTGCTGAGTGGAAGGTGGGGAAGGTTGTTCCACTCCACCAATCAGATAACAAGAATTCTCCACTTAATTATCGACCGATTTCGCTCACAAGCATCCCATTTAAAATTTAAGAGCTCATTTTGTTCTCTAACCCCGCCAACTTTTTTTAATCGAATTAGTTCTTCACACCTTCAAAACACGGCTTCCGTAGAGCGTATTCGTGCGAAACTCAAATGGTATTTTTCACTCATAAACTAAACGCCTTTCTTGACCGATCATCCCTAGTTGACTGCATCTTCTTAGACTTCTCGAAAGCATTTCATAATGTGTGTCGTAAGTTTTTACTTCTTAAATTAACTCAACTTAGTCTATGTCCCGAGCTTCTTATATGACTTGAATATTTTCTTGTTAACCGTCCTCAGTTCGTTTCAGCTAACAGACTCACATCTCCGCCAAGTGGCGTTCACTCTGGTGTGCCCCAAGGCTCTATGCTTGGACCTTTCTTTTTTCTTAACGACATTTTTTACCTCTCTTCTTGTGTTTCGTTCTATATTCATTTGTTTCCAAATGACTGTGTAGTTTTCCGGAGAATGTTATGTGATAACGATATAACCACTCTCCAATTTGATCTGAATGCCATCTCTGTATGGTGCAAAGCATGGTGCATAAAACTAACCATGAGCAAATGTAAACTTATGGGTGTCTCTCGAAAAAAAATTACAGGGTCTCTTATGGTATCCCTAAGACGGCTTCATGGCGAATGCCCAAGCGCCGATGCATTGAAGACAGACACGCGATTTACTGTGTTTCACGTTTTCTTTTTTCACATTCTCTTTTTTGACATTCTCTTTATATCTTTCATATGTTATTTCCAGATTTCACGCACACAATTTTTCGTCGTCCCCTCTTACTTCTTTTTAATCCTTCTTAATTCACTTTAATTGATCTTAAAATTCACTTTCATTCCTCTTAACTCATTTTGAATCCTCTTAATTCGCTTTGTCATCTTTCTCAACTTCATTGCCTTTTAATTCACCGGAGTGGTCAAGTAAACGTTTTGGTACCTTACGTGTCGCCGACGTGTTTTTCGCTCAAGGTCGACTGAACGATGAGACGTATAAGGCTTTCGGCTTAGAATAACTTACCCGTTTACTCTCTTAATAATGTGCCTTTAGACGCCGTATCTTATACATACCTTGGTGTTAACATTTCATCTAACCTTACTTGGAGCGTTCACACCTCGTACGTTATTAATAACGCTAACCGCATGTTGGATTATCTTCGACGTAACTTTGCAAAAGCACCTTCATCCATAAAGCTACTGCTACACAAGATCCTAATTTGCTCTAAACTCGAATATGTCGTTTCAGTTTGGGATCCCAGTCATTGAAACTTGATACACTCACTTCAAATGATTGAAAATAATTCGGTTCGCTTTATAATTTCTACCTATAATGGAACTGAAAGCATCAGTACAGTGCAATCTAACCTTGCTCTGCCGTCCCTAGCATCTCGTCACAAAACCTCTCGTCTCTGACTCTTTCACACACTGTTTCTTCATACCTTCTTGCACGCCAAACATATTTTACCCCCCCCCCCCCCTTCAATACATCTCATCTCCATAAGATCTTGTTCAGAAAGTCGGAATTGAACCGTTTAGAACTAATTCTTTTTTCTTTTAAGTATTTCCCCACACTTCAGTGGAGTGGAATGGCTTTCTTGCCCCAACAGCAATAATCGAGGATCACCAGCAGTTCAAGAATGCTATACCTAGTATTGTATAACGTAATCACTGCAATTTATTTTACCTATACTAAATACATTGGTACCCACTCCCCCTCTCTAGTGCCTTTGGACTTGAGGGTATATGGAATAAATAAACAAATGGAAACAACACAAAACATAGTAATTACTATTTAAGCCAGTTTAAATATTCCAGCAATAACTAAGTTTTTCTGATGAAGAAAAGAAAGAAAGAGTATTACTCAACAAAAATTATGCTAGCAAATGGAGACACTAAAATCATCTGGGACATAGTCAATGACACTATAGGCCTTTGCGCAAATCAGCATGTATTACCTGATCTAATTGACCAAAGTATGGTAGACAATTTCAACGATTATTTTACAAGTATAGGGCCTCTCTTAGCAGCCCAGCTGCCATACGTTCATGGCCCCCTGAATTCATTGACACCAATTATGAACAGCTTTTTAATGCAGAAAATTGAAATTAATGAAATTATATCAACAGTTAAAAACCTTCAAGGAGGTAAAGCCGCAGGACTAGATACAATTTCAGGCAAATTAATTAAATACAATATTGATTCATTAAGTATTCATTTCCTATATCTGTTCAATCATTCGATAGAAGACCGAACATACCCTAACAAATTTAAGCTATCTAGAGCAATACCTTTTTTTAAAGATGGAGACTACTGCACCGTCTAGTTTTAGACCAATATCAGTTTTAAGGATAATCAACACAATTTTTCAAAAAATACCCTGCAAACGTATAATGGACTTCTTACTAAAGTACTCTTTTTTTTCCCCAATCAGCACGGGTTCAGGTCTAATAGATAAACGTCTTCAGCCGTTTTGTTTTAACTCAACTTATTTACAGGGCTCTTCACGACAATAAGTTCGCCGTTACTTAGATATATAAAAAACCATTTGACACAGTTAATCACAATGTTTTGCTCAATAAACTTTATATGTATGGCTTTCACGCATTTTCCGCAATCATCCAGCTCCCTTGCACCTTTGCATTTAATTACATGGTACAGCTAACAAACTATCTTTCCGATCGAAGACAGTGCGTAGTAATAAAAGATTTTATACCTACACCTCAAACGGTGTCAACCGTTGTACCGCGGGGCTTGGTGTTTGGGCCCACTCTTTGTTCTCTTTGTGTAAATGTCTTTTCATTGTTTTTAAAATACTGAGAGGTATTAATTAACGCTGACGAAACGGCATTGTTTTTGTGTTTTTTCTTTATTATTTTTTTTTTTTTGTGGGGAGGACACGATAGATGAGCTACAGCATAAGATAAATGAGGAGCTAACTATAGTTTTGATATGGTTCACGAGTAATCAGTTCCCACTTAATTTAACGAAATCTAAGTATACAGTCGTCCACTCCAAGAAGGTTTTAAATTACGATGAGTTGGTTCTACGTTTGGATGAAGCGGAGTAACAGAGAATTCCGTGTTATAAATATCTGGGTGTTCTGTTTGATACTGCCATGCATTGGAAAAACGAAGTTAAACACATTTGCTGGAAAATTGCCTACGGATGTCATACTTTACGCAAGGCGCGTCGCGCATGTTTTGATTTGGTTATTGTGCGCACACTTTATTTCACATTAGTACACAGTCATCTGACCTATTGTATGGAGTCGAGGGGTAATACGTACTTAGACCCGGTCACTCGTTTACAAAAACGGGCATTACGATTTCTCACATTCTTAAAAAAAAGAAAAAAAAATTGACCCTAGAAGACGGCTTTTTCAATCACTAGGCGTGTTGTCAATAAGTTCCGTTTACAAACTTAAAATAATGCAAATAGTTCGTAAAATCATACAAACTGATTAACCCCTTCCTTTAGGCCTATTTATATATCCAACTAGACAAACAAGAACTGCAGCGAATCACTTGTTTAATTTACCGCCATGTCACTGCAGATATGAACAATGTCTGATCGAATTGGCGCTTTAATATGCAATGAAATACCCATATATATTAAGCAAAAAAAAAACTTTTTGCCTTTCTTGGAAGCATTTTTTTTAACTAAGAATAGCAGCCGACTTAATTGTTTTGTAAAATCTGATCTTCCTGTGTTTCGTGTCTTTTGTATTGCCGTTTTTGAAGTGTATTTTTACAATTGGACCCCGGTCTAGCCATAATAACTATGGGTACAAACAACTTCTGTATTTTTGGAATAAAAATTTGAAAATAAAGCAATGAGTGACTTAATGAATGAATGAATGAACGTCTGAACTTTCGTTGGTGTATTTGCCATGTTAATCCGGACGAAAACTGTTCACTTGTGAATGAATAAAAATACAATTGTTGTAAAATACAAACTCAACGATTGGATTTCTTAACATCAGTGGAGGTCGACGCCGTGTTTTCATATTTTGTTTGGAGTTGAAAAGTTTTTATCCGAAGTATTGAGGAACAAAACTCAAAATCTCAATCATCTTTTCTTGGGGGGGGGGGGGGGGGGCGGGGGGGGATTTCTTTTTTTAATACACGCTTAATTTAAACAGTAACAAAGAAGTCTGCGGAACACCAGGTACGCTCACAATCATCTGCATTTTTTTTTTCTTTTGTTCCCCGCTCGACTGGAAAGCTAGATGGGTGTTGACGGAGGGTCGGAAGGTGGGAAGTCCAAACGTGTCGTGCACTCGCGTGCGGTTTCTGCGCACTGTGGCCGCCCGTTCCAGACTCGCTGGCCGCTGTCACGGGGTTCTTTGGTCCGATACAAACCCCCGCGCTCCGGTACAGTGGCAGAAGCGATCTCCGAGCACGGTACGAGGTTCACTCACCGTGACGGCAGCGGGTTTCCGTAGCTGATGCAGGTGTTGCCCTCTGTGCTAGTCGGGGGCAGAGCAGCCTCCAGGTCCGGGTTCATGGCATGCCAGGCGACGGCATGGCTCAGCCAGCCGCCCAGCTCGCACTTTCTTCCCACAGCGAACAAGACTCCGGGCCCACGTGGTTTGTTGACAACAAGGCCGCGTCCGTTGCCCCGGGCGACGAGCTGCGCTCGATCGTGGAAGAGTATCGACGGATCCTCCGCCCGCCCCCTCCGGCGCTCCCTCCAAAGCTATGCGCCCAAAGGGTGGAAGGCTTGTCGAATCGAACACGTGCACCCCATCCGCTGCGGCACTGGTGGAAAGCGTTGCCCGGTTTCCACCACAGAAACGACGATGGCAAGGAACCTTTACGACCAAGATTCCACGTTGTCAGTGTTTATCTTTTCAAGCAGCCTATTTCAGTTTTCTCTTTTGCCTGCGTGTCTTCTGGCCAGTTTGGCGTAAAATCGCCATCCATTTAGAGCGGTGAGGGTAGCAGACGTTGAGTGGCCACATTGGCCCAGGTCACTCCGAGTGTGCTCCGATGGCCACTCGCACCACCGACGTCGCAGTCACGGAATGCGCTTGTGAATAGGTGATAAATCACCCCGCGCGACGCTCCATCACCTCCGCATGTGCATGCTCTTCGTGTTGCGTGGACGCGTTTAGCGTAGGATTAAAAAAATATCTAAACTCGGCGAATGCGCACTTTGAAAGAATGTCGAAGCCTCGGGAACGTCCATGTCCCGAGAGAATCGGCAGTATAGAGGACGACGAGGCGGCGCTACGAAAAACAGCATTGACAAATACGCAAAAAAAGGACAAAGGCCCATCCACAGCTAAGTCATTGGATGAAAACACCAAAACTTGCAGACCAACACGTGGCTCTGACGTCATACCGTTGCGGTGGCGCTGCTGTCAGCACGAGGCACGTGCAGACGAATCACCTGAGTCTGGTTTTTGCGCGTGCGCAGTGTCCATACATGGTATATACATGCACATGCCGACTTGTTTGTGAAGAGCGCGCTGCCTTATAGGCCAACGGAAAAAGGCCGATCGTGTTCAGGTCGGCACGATCCTTTCTTTTCGTAAGACTCGGGTATTTATACAGCAATATCAATAAGAATAAGGATATTTATTTCGAAACATTAACACAATACAATGGGGCACTTGTACGCGGATGCTGATAATCCAACAGGCTGCGAAATACCCTACTAAGCGTCCTTTGTTAGCATCCAACAAAAAATAAAACTCGGGGAGAAAAACGAAAACTGTGAAACAACGTAAATTCCTTTACAGCTCAAACTGGAGGCTCCCTTCTCTCATTTTATATTTTACTAGTCTCAATGAATCTAGGTTCAAATGCGTTACTGGAAGCTTAATATAATAAAAGGGAACGTAGTATGACAATGATAATGCTCGAGAAGGGGAACAGGGGAGACAAAGGAGAAACACAAATCTCCAAACACAGATAGGTGACTGGTGCGCGACTGAAAAAATCCGCCTGGTCCTGGTATCGAACCGGGGACCTCTTCATGTCTACTGGAGTTCTCTACCAACTGAGCTAAGCAGGAGTTAGACGTCAGGAGAGCAATCTAGAGGTGAGACCGCAAAAAAAAAAAAATTATGGAGGGGCAAAACATGCCGAACTTTGAAATCCTGAGGAGACAAAAATGAGCGGGAGAAAGAATCTCATCTTGCTAGGGTGTTGGCTGAAATGAACACGAAGTTGGGTGATCTCGCGTCAATCAGGAAAAAGGTGGATACCTTGATGACAATGAAGGCTACTGTTGACAGTATCAAACAAAAAGTACAAAAGATGTCAGACAAGTATGACAACCTACTTTCAGCATTCAAAGAACAGTCTCAGGAAATCAAAGAACTAAGGGAACGAGTAACTGACATCGAAACCCAAGACCAGGAAATGCCAAAGAAGTTAAAGCACTAAAACAAGAGATAAATAGGCTAGATCAGTACAGTCGGAGGCAGAACATGGAGATCCACGGACTACCAAAAACCGAAGGTGAAAATCTTTTCTGTAAAACAAATGACCTTGCAGAAACACTTAAGGCTCGTTCACACTCTTGCAACCGAGTACGACCGAGAGAGACAAGACCGGTTCTTAAGCCTCTTGCGACCTCTTAAGACCGGGCGCGCTGCTGCGGAGCTGGTCCTAAGACGTCGTAAAAGGATTAAAAACCGGTCTGGTCTCTCTCGGTCGTACTCGGTTGCAAGAGTGTGAACGAGCCTTTAGTCTAGATGAATGAACAGCAAATGATTTGAATATCCTGCACAGACTGCCGCCGAAGCCCAGACAGAATCTTGATACGCTTTGTGTCACAGGCTACACGTGAGAAATGGCTAGCTAAAAAGAATGGCTTGAAAGAAACCGGTCTGAATAGGGTGACCACCCGTCCCGCGACTCGCGGGACTGTCCCGCATTGAGGGCTCGTGTCCCGCGTCCCGCAAGAAATTCTCAAATCTTTAAAATGTCCCGCATTTCATACAGTAGGAAAATTCACTCTGCAACTCATGGCACTGCCGAACAACGGGGCGCACGGAAGCGCGGAGTTCGCTGGTAATCGTGTGAATCGCAATGGTACACCATTTTCTATCCACGTATTGCGGGAAGCAACCGTCGTTCTTGTAGGAGACCCGACGGGAGTTCTCCGTTGTGCCTCTCCCCTTGGTGCCAAAATATTCTAAGAAAAAGTGTCCACCAAAAGTTTCAAAATAAAATATAGTAGTTATTTTGATATCGCCGTGTCAATGCGAAAGGGTTGCTGTAAATTTTTGTTTCATTGAAGGCACCCGTATAAGGCAAAACGCCTGCAACTCGCAACAGTCGAAAAAGAATATAATGTTAAAAATGTGTGTAGGACCATGTTGATAAAAGTAAGCGTTGAAAGTAAGCAATAACCCGAAAAAGAATTACTATTTCCTATTTTCATTTGATGCACTGAGTTCTACTACGGTCGATTTTTTATGTTTTCAACTTCGACACATTTATTAACACATTTGGCATAAAAAATATATCACTGGGAGGGAAAATTAATTTAGCGTAATTGCTGAAATACAATTAGCAGGTGTCTAAACAGCTCAAGGTGTAAGCGAGCTGGACAAGAATGACGAAAATAATCCCTGTGTTTGTCTTTTGTCACTCGTGTTCCCCTTCTCCAGGGATTATTTTCGTCATTCTAGTCCACCTCGCTTGCACCTTGGCATTTAATTCAATTCTAATCATAACCTTAAAATGCAAGCCTTTCACCCGTGTTGGTGTTAGACTGGTGGCAGCTGATAAAACCTGTTTGCCCCTAGTTAGCTCAGTTGGTAGAGCGCTCCGCTGGAAATGGAGAGGCACCCGGAGCAGGCAGATTCTTTCGGTCGCGCACAGTTACCTAGGTGTGCTTGGAGATTCGTGTTTGTCCTTTTTCCCTCTGATTCCGCTTCTCCAGGTTTTATTTTCGACAGAATATTAAATCTGTTACCAGAGCCTGGGTTCGGGGTACGTGTGTTCATAAATTCCCTCTACCCCCCCCCCCCCCGTCGCGTGTCCCGCATTGGGCGGCGGAGAAAAGCTCACCGGAGAAAAGCTCACCGGAGTTAAGCTCACCGGAGATAAGCTCACCGGAGAAAAGCTCAACGCAAAACCGGCGTATGCGGAGAAAAGCTCACCGGCCTCTGATCGGATGCGAAGAAAAACTCGCCGATTTTTTTTTTTTAACTTAGAGTATTCTGTATCAAACGTGTCAATATAACACAATTCGCATTCGTCACTTTATTAAAAATATATCCTCTTTTTGTAATACTCTTGAAGTTCATTGGGCATAATTACTAATTCCTAAGAAATTCGTAACCACCCATTCTGTATAGTAGGGAGTTTTCGTAGATCGTTTCCGAGGTCCTGCAATGCCCTCCGCAACTAGGGTGCCTTCATGTCCGCTTCGGCACTCTATCCGCAAGCAGCTACGTTAGCCGGAACTCTGCAGTCAAGGCTATCGGCGCGCCGGCGCAGTAGCGTTTGCTTCGTTGCGGAGGGCTTAGCGGAAGGGGAAACACGGACTACGAAAACTCCCTATTATTGAAGCCGCAAGTATAAAATCAGAACATTGTACACCGGTAAAAAATACAACAATTTATATGCAGCTGAAAGTGCGCCGTCGGTAGCTCTGTCAGATAAAGAGGTTTAATTGTACTTTACGAGCTAATATGAGTAGCGATGTGTGAACCGTTTCAGCTCCAAATATTGTGTAGTGCCTAATAGATAAGTAGGTGTTTGCTGACGTAATCAGTGTCGGCTACGCTGTTTTCTTTCTGTTAATTTTACTAACAAACTTAAGTTACGTGAACAGCTTCGTCCTGTCGTGTTTGTTGTCTTCACTCCGTCGTCGTCGTTTGAGCGGTTTTCAACATGCATAACGTTTACCAACCCGTCCAATTCGCTATTTTAATTCACTATATTACAGAAGACCAATTCTTATATAGGTCACGAGAAACAACGGTGCCAGTGTGCAGCTCTGAAGGTCATGGGTGGCTCGCCGTAGAAGGGCAAAATAACACAAATGCAACGTGTGGAAACACCAGCACGAACGGCTACAAAACGTTCATGTCCGTAGAAGAAAAAGTCTCGACATCCTACTGACTGTTTTATCCAGTTTTCAAAGGTTAACTAAAGCTTCAAAATAACACAAAGGCACCGTGTGGAAAGACCAGCACGAACGGCTACAAAACGTTCATGTCCGTAGAGGAAAAAGTCTCGGCATCCTACTGACTCTTTTATCCAGTTTTCGAAGGTTAACAAAAGCTTCAAAGAGAATTTCAGGCACCGCGTTGCTGCACATGCACTTTCGGATTTTCGGCATTTATAATTTTGATTTTTAGGTTTTAGGCAGGAATTATTATGCTTTCGAACTTTTTCCTGTTGTTCAAGTTCATAAAGTTTTCAGTTCGGCTTTCGTTGCCCAGATTAAGCCACAAAAAACACTCGCCCGCAATTATTAAATTAGAGGCAATATACACAATAAGCTTAACAAATATTACAAAAAAAGACACTTTCTTT